TTTGTGTCTTGGTAGACTGCCATGCTTCCTACCCTGAAGAAATTAAAGTTTCTCTGGATGGTGATATTGTTGCTCTAAAAGTTCAATACGAGTGGAGACCGACGCCTTGTGATCACTGTAAGTCCCTTGTTCACTTCTCCTCCTTCTGTCCTACTAAACTGATTGTTGAAGGTGAGAAAGCCATTGGTTTTTCAAATAATCCTCCACCTCGGGGTAGAAGTCACAGTAGGAAAGCGAATAAGAGACCCTTGTCCAAACCTCTGGTGGATAATCATGCCTCTGCTTCCTCTCCAGCTCTGATTATTAACCCTAGTAGTGAGGTTCCTGTATCAGACTCCTTACAGGACCCCATACATCATTCATCTCCTGGTCGTAATGGTATCGATAATCTAACGATTAAAAGGAACGATCTTGGACAAGACCTTCATTATCAACCAAATTCCCCTTCCACAAAAAATTCAAGATCTGAACAAATTTTATCTTCTCTTAAAGACCTTAAGAGTAAGATCCCGGAGGATCAGATGGCTGACACAGTTATTAATTCGGGACAAGTTATCCCAAATCTAAACTCTCCAACTGACGCGAATTCTATCTCTTCAGGGAAGATCTCTAGCTCCACGATTAGACCTCATGGTATTATTTCTCCAAATAGGTTTGAAATTTTACAAGAGAATGAGGAAGTCTCAAAACCAGTGGACACCATCACCTCTGAAGAATTGAAAAATCCTTTCTCTAAGGATAAGTCTTCTACAAACCAAAAAAAAAAAACAAGTGAATACAAATGTGAATGTAGGCAAAAAATATGCTAGGGGAAAGCAATCAAAGAAGCCCCAAACCTCCTCATCCTCTTGATGTCTCTGCCGTCAATGGCTGCTTGGAACGTTCGGGGCTTTAATAGGCCGGATAAGTTTTAAGCTGCAAACGCTTGGTGGCTTCTTTCAAGCTTGATTTATTGTGTATCTTGGAAACAAGGATACACTCTTCTGCTTTTCAAAACCCTTTTTTTGAAACTAATCATTTGATCTTTCCTTATGAAAAAAGTTGTAACAACTTTAATTTTTCATCCTCGGGGAGGATATGGGTTAAATGGAATGCTAGCAAGATTGATTTTGCTCCTACTCACATTTCTCCTCAATGTATTTCTGGTATGATAAAAAGTTGTCTCTCATCTCTCTTTCCAAATTTCTTTCATTTATGCTTCTAACAGCAGTATTGAAAGGAAAAACCTCTGGGATCAATTTGAAGCATTCTCCCCTCCTTCACGCATTCCCTGGGTTGTCTTAGGTGATTTCAATTGCTGCCGTTTCGTTTCTGAAAAACTGGGAGGTTCGCCTCTCTCTCAGGGTTCCCTTGCTGACTTCAATCGTATGATTTTTGAAAACTGTCTGTTGGATCTTCAGACTGTTGGTAGCAATTTTACCTTGTTCAACCAGCAGGCTGACAATCCGATACACATTAAGCTGGACAGAGCATTGGTTAATGATGTCTGGCTTAAAGATTTTCCTTCTTCATTCTGTTCCATTCAATCTCCCTCTACTTCTGACCATTGCCCACTTATTATTCACTCAGGTGATGCTCCCAACTCTAATTATAGATTTCTTTTCAAGAATTATTGGACCAAACTTGACAGGTACTGGAGCAATGTGCTGGATGTTTTTTCTAGTCCTTTATCTGGGAATCCTCTAATCTCTCTGTGTAACTCTCTCAAAAAGCTTAAGAGCAACATCAAACGTGAAGCATGGTCCAACTTTAATTATATCAATTCTCAGCTAGATGATCTTCTCAAAATACAATCTTCCTGTTTGGCTAAGGCGCAGGCCAAACCTGATGACCCTATTCTTAATTACACACTCAAAGAGATTAATCATAGAGTTTATGATCTCTCCTCTATGAATGCCTCTTGGTTGATCCAAAGGGCAAAAGAGAATTGGCTTAAGCAGGGTGAAGAAGATCTTAAATTTCTTTTTTCCAAGGTTAAGAGAAGACAAGGGAGTAATAAGATGGCTGTTAATTTATTTGCTGCTTTCCCTGGTAGTAATAATAGGGAAGTGATCAATTGCATTGTTCAGCACTTTCAGGGGCTCTACAATCCTTCCCCCCCTTCATTATTGGATGTGAGTTTATTCCCCATTGGTAACTCTCTCCGAAATCTTTACTGGGAATTTTTATCCTGCATGGTCACGGACAGGGAAATAAAAAAATCTGTGTTCTCAGGGTCTTCCACATCTACCCCTGGACCGGATGGTTTTAATTACCATTTCTACAAAACTAGCTGGCTCATTTCGGGGCCTTTAGTTTGTAAAGCTGTTAGATCTTTTTTTGAAAAGGGTTACATTCCGAGGGGTGTCAAGGCGACTATACTTGCTCTTATTCCTAAAACTAGGAATGTGCAGTCTATTTCTGATTTTAGACCGATTGCTTTATGTAATACTATATACAAAATTATTGCAAAAACTTTGTCCAATCGCTTAAAGCCCATCATGCCTCATCTTGTTAAGCATAATCAATCTGGATTTGTAAAATCCAGGATTTCTACTAACAATATTATTCTGGCCAAAGAAATATTGTACATGGCTAGGAAAAATAGCATATATAAGGTTTTTTGCGCCAAACTAGATATAAGGAAAGCGTTTGATACGGTTTCCAGGGAATTCCTATTAAACAGGATGCTTCAAAAAGGGTTCCCTAATTCTTTTGTGAATTTGATCAAAGCATGCACATCTGATGTGAATTATTCTGTATTGGTGAATGGTGCTATAGAAGGTTTTTTCTCTTCAACCTCAGGGCTTAGGCAAGGATGCCCGTTAAGCCCATATTTGTTTTGCTTAGTGATGGATGCTTTTTCTGCTCTATTAGATAATGGTGAATTCAAAGGGATTAATGTGGATGATTTCTCCTTATCGCACCTACTATATGCCGATGATGTATTAGTTTTTGGTGAAGCTACTGTTGAAAACTGTCTTTGTCTCAAAAAAATTATTTCCACCTTTTCCAATGCTACTGGGCTTCACGTGAACCTTAGTAAGAGCTCAATTATGTTTCCTAAGTTTGTAAAAAATCATGCTGAGCTCTGCAATATTCTCTCTATTCACAATATCTCTGAAGTTATTACCTATCTTGGTATTCCCTTATCTTTTAATCGGCTAAAAGTTGCAGATTTTTTACCTTTAACTGATTCCATTTCAGTTAAATTGTCGGGGTGGAAAGCTAGTCTTTTATCATTTGCTGGTAGACTTCAATTCCTAAAATACACCATCTTGAACTCTATAGCTTACTGGATTCTCGGTGCCATTATACCAAAAACTGTCTCAAAATTTTTCAAGAAAGTGTGCTCTAAATTTTTGTTTTTTGGGGATTGTAATGCTGGGAAAAAATTGCACTTGGTCTCTTGGGATAATGTTACCAGACCTAAGGAGTTTGGGGGGCTTGGCTTGCCATCTCTAGCTTCTCTCCAGTTTGCTTTTAATTGTTCTATCATCACCCGGATGTACAATTTGCAGTCCCCCTTATCTCAATGGCTTACTAGCAGATATATCTCTCCCTGGAGTCCGATTCATTCGTTTGCTACCAAATTTTGGAGGGATGTCTGTCTTACTGCTGGGATGGTTAAATATAAATTTTCTTTTAAAATCACAAGGAATGCACCTATCTCCTTTCGGTGGGATCATTGGTTATGTAACTCCAGGGTGGAGGAGTTTTTAGCTACTCAAGATTTGAATTATCAGTTCCCTACTTTCTATTCTAACAGTCTTGTTAGAGATTTCATTTTGGGAGATAATTTGGCACTTCTTTCCTGCTTTTCTCCTTTGATGAAAAGTAATATTTTAAATGTTGGCATTGAGGAGGGATATATCTGCCTTTGGTGGGATAATAATAAGGACTGTAAGCATTATAATTTTGTATTAGAGTTTTATAAAAGTCATCCCACTGTTTCTTGGCATAAATTTATTTGGGGACCTAAATTTGGCTTGAGATATTCGTGCTTTTCCTGGTTAGCTCTGGTTGGGGGGATTAAAACAGCTGAGGTTTTAAATAAAAGGAATATCTTGGTTCCTTTATCTTGCAGCCTCTATTTTTCTCAATTGGAAAGTGTTGCTCATTTATTCTTTGAATGCCCATACTCATTCAATATTATTAGAACCTTAATCCGTGGGTCTAATTGTTTTTTAATGGAACCATCCCTATTGCAACTGCTGGAATGGATTGATGGTAATGGCTTGGTATCTGTTGAAGAGAAAAATTTCTTCTCCTTAATTGTCTGTTGCTGTGTCTATTTCATCTGGAAAGAGAGAAACCAAAGAAGATTTAATAATGCATTTAACAGTAGTAAGTCCACTGTTTTCTGCATTAGAAAAGTTGTTCAGGCAAAGATCTCAAATTGGAAGAATTCCTCACATATGTTGGGAAAGTTATACTCCTGAAATGTTTCTATTTAACCCTGCTTCTTGGGTTATTTCTCTCGACTTTGGCTGGAATGAAGTCGCCATACGATGCTATGTTGGTTCGGGAATAGCCTGAGACAATGATGATGCTCCAATACATCCCCTTGGATGGCTCTCGAGCAACCAGGGGATTAATCACAACGATATTCTATTCAATTTCTCTGAGTCCAGGCTATGGTGGCTTTGGAGCTTTGGTCCCTTTGAAACTCTATGGTTCATTTCTGCTTTTATTCAATTATCTCTGTAGGCTATTCGTTATAAAGCCATTTTATTTGTCTTAAAATTTGGGTTATAAGGTGGATTTTTTTTCATTTTATACATTTTAAGGTTCCTTTGAGCCTTTTTTCTTACTTGTATCATCTATCCTTATTTTTTAATAAAAGGGCTATGCCCAAATTTTCCCAAAATTTTTTTTTTATTATTTATTTACATTATTAATTATATATTTTAAATTATATTAAGTAAGCTAATTAAATTACCTTTAATTACTAATAATTAATTAAATTAAATTAGCTATTTAATTTATGCACTAATTATACTGTTCGGCTTTTTGGTCGTTGCTGTTCGGCTTCGGTGCTTCGCGGGAGGTGTAGAGATCGCATTCGGCTCCCTCGTTGCCGTTCGAATTTGCTCCTTCAACGACATTCCCTTCTCAGATCGGAAGTTACGACATTTTGATCGGAAGCAACGACGGGAGCTCGGTCGCTGTGAAGATAACTTTCTCCCTTTCGCCCGCTTCTTCGGCCAAATCCCGTAAATCGGCCAAACTACAGGATTTAGTAAATCCGGGATTTACTGAAAAAAGAGGGAAACGGAGGATTTATTCGGCCGTGAGATTCAGGGCGTTCAAATCCTGTTGGCAGACAGCCCTTAAATCTTGCATCCAAGCAGCCCCTTCATTTCTCCCTCTTGTTCAAGCCGTGCGATGCAGAAGTCCGAACGTTTCGTCCTTAGACTCGCCATATTCTCTCGGTTTCTCCTGATATCTCTAATCATCACGTGGAGACTTCTCTACCCGCGCTATGATTCTTCAGCTCAACTTAACCCTAGCTGCCTCTCTTCGTCTTCGACGGCCGACGAGCTATCGCATTTGAAGGAAGGTGATCGAGTCCTATGGCCGCGGGCTGGGGCGGCGATCGAAGGAAGCGTTGTATGGGACAGCGTCTACTTTGTCAGGATCGCCGAGTGCGGTTATGAGTACGAGCAGACCTATGCTTTTCTTCCACTCCTCCCCCTGTCAATTTCCTTGCTTTCGCGATCCGGTGAGGGGATAGTTCTGTTCTTTACACTCATTTTGTTTTGTGCGACCAAGTTAATATTTTTAATTTTTTTTTATAGTGGTTACGGATCTTTTGCAGTTTTTGCTCCTTTGATCCCTGTGATTGGATATAGAGCTGTGCTTGCGCTGTCGGGTTATGTGCTGAACAACATTGCCTTTGTTCTTGCTGCCATTTATTTCTACAAGTAAGCTAAGACTCGTGCAATTAATATTATGGATTATTTGCTTGAATCATATGTTGTAGTTGATCCTAATGAATGTTGTTGGAGAGGGCTCTTGTTGGGTTTAATTTAGTGAGCGATGGTGTTTACTAGTGCTTTAAGGTTGAAACATATCTATAAAGAAAAAAAGATCAGTTCACTTTAAAGCAATCAAAATGGCAAACCTTTTGAGGACCGGGGCTGCCAAATGTATTCCTTTTTGTAAGCTAAACTTATGCGCTTTCATTGACTGTGAAGAGATTCTCAGTTCAGGCTTCTGCATAACTCAGTTACAAACAGAGAAAAATGGTGAAGGAATTTATTTGATTGAAATTCATCTACATTCCACCTTGAGTCTTCTTTAGATATATATATACATACTAAATGTGAGTAGTGGAGAACATTTATTCAGTTATAGAATTGTAATAATTTCACGCTTGAGTAGTGGAGAACAGTTTTGCTAAGTGGAGATATTGAGTTGCTGCTCCATTTCCTTTGTAGTTGGAATACCGTTATTACCACCCCTCAGGACTAAATACGAGACAGGAAATTTGCATGAAATATTTAAAGAACAACTTTGGATTTCTCGTTATTAACCACTAAAACCACGAAATAAAACAATTAAGCGGTTACATCCGTTTAGGCTAAGCTACGCGAGAGACTAAGCAAAGTCAAAATATTTAAGAGAATTAAAGCAATGCGTACAAAGTAGCTTTCATCATAACCTTGATCTAACAAGAGGTCTAAAAGCAAAGAAGTAACAATCCTACGTTACTAATGGACGGTGACAGTGGAACAAAATATCTTGCTTGAACAATCTCCCTACGAAGTAGTAGAATAGGAAAGTACACGATTCAATGAAGAATATCACCTTTGCGGAGAATCGTCTTGATCCACCTTTGCGGCGAATCGTCTTGATACGCCTTTGCGGAGAATCGTCTTGACACACCTCTCAAATGGTAGCAAAAGAAAGAATCTTCTCTTATAAGCGGAGAGAGGTTAAGTCCCAAATCTTCTTCCAAAATCCAAAAAGAATTTCAGATTTTGGTTCCAAAATCTGAGTCCAAAATGTTAGAAGACTTCCAATTTTTTTTCAAATTCTTCCACAAAGCTGAATAATTCTTTTGAAGGAATATGAAATATTTCAGATATTCTTCTCTCAGAAATCTGAGAGGAATTCCAACTCTCAGTGTAGGGAGGAAAAAACTTGCAGCCAGAGTTATGGAAATCAAACAAATTGACGTCAAGGAGGAGAGGAGATATGAGAGGGAGGGGTGAGACGGGTGACAGGGAAAGGAGGCCGGCGGGATTGAGAGGGATTGGGGCTCTTCTTTCCTAAATCCAATATCCAATTTTAGGAAATAAAATAGAGTCTAGGGATGTAAGGAAATTTCGGCTAGGCTGAGATTAGGGGGAATTGAAATTGTTTCCTTAAAACAAGGATGGGGATTAGGAAACAATTAAGGATTTAAGCTAAGAGGGGCCGGCGGCAATAATGGGCAAGAGGGAATTTGAGGGTGAGGTGTCATGCTTGCATAAATCAAATTTAGGATTAGGAAGATAATTAATCAAATCCAATTGAATTTGAAATTCAAAAGACTTGATTTAAGAACTTTCCAAAAATAGCATGACAAATTAGGAAAGATTTTCAAATTCAAATTAGTTGGATTTGAATTTTGAAAATCTGTCCAAAATTAAATCACCCAAATTAGGCAAGGATTTCAATGGGGATGAGGAGGTGGATGGTGGCCGACGGCTAGTGGTTGGGTTGGCAGTATGAGGGGTCGGGTGGGGTGTTGGCCGTGGGTTAAGGGAGGAGGAGGGGGTCGGGTGAGGTGACCGACAGCTTATGGTGGAGGAGGTGGGAGGGGAAGTTCGATTGAGGGGGTGACGATTGCTTGGAGTTGGAGAAGGGTTTGGGCGTAAAGATGTCCGGTGGTGGTGGTGGAAGGAGGAAAGACAAAGACAAAGATAAAGAAAGACCACGAACCCAGCCGTCTCCAGGGTTGGTGGGTAGTGCGCAAGCTTCCCTCTCCTAGGGATCTCTCTCCATCAAACACTCAAACTCTCACAAGAGCTCATGCAAGAAGACAAATGCAGGAAAATTTTCTTAATCATTCATTAATTTCAAAATAACAAGATGAATGCTATAAATAGCCTCATACAATGACTTAAAACAACAAGGACTCAAATATCCTTAATGGGCTACAAGACTCAATCCCTCAAGCAAGGGTAAAAACGGAAAATGCCGAAATAAAAAAAAATTACATCAATAAGTAGACAATAATAAAATCAAAAGTACATCGTGTAAATCGTGGCCGTTGATTTACGGCCACGTCGATGGTAGACTTTCCAACTGATGTCCCCATCATGAAGGCTGAACTGTGAGCTTGGTTATGACATGTTGAAATTGTTTTGTTGGAAGATCTTTGGTTAATATATATGTTGGTTGGTCTTTTGAGCTAATATGAACCACTCAAATTTCTTTAGATTGTATGTGCTCTCTTAAGAAATGATAGTCAATTTCAATGTGCTTAGTTCTAGTGTGGAAGACGGGATTGTTTTCTAATGCAAGAGCTGATATATTATTGCGGTGTAAATCAGTGGGATGGGTTGTAGGAATACCGAAGTCATTTAGTAACTGATGTAGTCATATAATCTCAGTAGCTTTTGTGGCAGGTGTTTGGTATTAAGCTTCGGTGGAGCGAGCAACATTGGGGCATTTCATGACACTCCAAGAGATTAAGGTGGAGCCAAGATAGGTACAATACCCTATGGTGGATTTGCGAGTACTAATGTTACTAGCCCAGTCAAAGTTAGAGAAGGAGGTGAAAGTATAGTTGGCATTCATTTGATGCCAGCATTGTAGAGTTGTATGCCCACGTTTGGCATAGATTTGGCAAATAACAGCTATGGAGGAGCAGCCTTGACGAGGTACTAAAGGAGCAGTTGGTGGATGGTTTGCGGAATGTTGACCGAGATGTCCACGATATTTGGAAGAGCGACCCTTGTATTTGTAGTGTTGAATGAGAATCAGGTGATGCAGGGGTTTTGGCCAATTCAACAACAATGTTAATCTCTTCACTCAGAATAAGAGAATATAAGTTTCTGAAGGCTTATCAGATTTAGTTGAGTGCAAATAGAGGTTTTAAAGGATTGATACGATGATGTTAGATCGTTTAGGATGTAGAGAATAATGTCTTTGTTGTCTACTATAGAATCGGTTGTTGCAATGTTATCTATCAATGTCTTGATTTCAGTAAGGTACTAAAGCATTGATAGATTCTTCATATTAATATTGTGAAGTTCGTTTTTGTGTTGAATGACTCGAGAACGGTTGGTAGATTGCTGCTGACGTTCAATGGTGATCCATATATCTCGTGATGATTCAAAATTGATTGCATATGGAAGGATGGTGGGTGCGTAGCAGCCGCTAAGTTCTTATCGATGAGCTTCCATTGACCCAAGGTAGAATATAAATGGACTGACCATTGGAATCGATGAACATAGAGGGCGGCATAACAGTCGACCCGTCAAGAAAGCTGATGAGACCCTTTGCTCGAACTAATTTGAGAATTTGTGACCTCCATATTGGATAGTTTTCATTATAAAGTTGGGTAGGTATTGTTGTCTTGATAGTGGATATGATGAATTTTAGAGAGGGAATGAGAGAATCATTGAGTGAGGATGGTGATGCAGTGAACATAGAAGTGGAAGATTGATCCATTGTAGAGTTGTTAGGGAACCGGTGCTCTGAAACCATGAAGAGATTCTCGGTTCAGTGCTTCTGCATAACTCAGTTACAAACAGAGAAAAATGGTGAAGGAATATATTTGATTGAAATTCATCTACATTCCACCTTGTGTTTTATTTACACAATACATGATATATATATGCTAAATGTGAGAAGTGGAGATCAGTTGTTCAATTATAGAATTGTGACAATTTCACGTTTGAGCAATGGAGAGCAATTTTGCTTAGTGGAGATATGGAGTTGCTGTTCTATTTTTTTTTGTAGTTGGAATACCGTATTATGCTACAATGTAAATTATCTATGAAATGTAGGTGGAGTTTTTTTGCTTTAGGAATCACTGCAATGGGTTGGAGAAAATAGTATTTATAGCCTAGAAATTTTCTTTGCAAGTTTTGGAAAGATGTGATTGAAAAATCAAATGGTTTAGTGTTCTTTTGCAAGGATAATGCAGACTTGGATGAGTTGTTGGCTTGCCTTCATTAAGATTTGGAGGTCTTGAGTTTGATTTATAGAAATAACATATCTTCAAATGCATGGTATTGTTTTAATGTGCTATGAGAAGATCATAGACTCCAAGATTATGAGTGTGTCTGATAGGTATTTTTGTAGGCAAATTAAGTGGTAGATACAGAACTACTCAAAGATTCTCCTTTTTAGAAGATTTTTTGTTCCTGATACAAGGCTTCCAATGGGTGTAAACTCCTATTGTTAATTATCCATTTCGACACAGGAAAGAATATTGATTAGCAATAGTTGTGAAGCTCCATAATAAATTTTACATTATTACAATTCTCCATTTAGTATTTTAGTCAAACTTGCTATGAGATTTTAACATTCAGATTTTCCCTCTTAAGAAGATGGTGGGATTATTATGATAAGATTGATCAATATCCAATGATTCTTTCATCTTTAGGTTTGTTGGTTACCTTAAATAATTTGAGAAAAAACATGGATTAACTCGATCAAGGAAACCTTTTTGACCTAGGGTCGAAAATTTGCAAATGAGGCCAAATTTGTGGTATGCCTAGGCCAATAAAGGGGTTTTAGCCTTCATGGGTTTATGATGTGTTCTAGTCCTAGGAACAATCTACTATGACTTGTTAGATTGGCCTGAAGGAGTTGGCCATCGTGCTGTAGGAGTTGCAGGATGTAGGATTGTCGATTTTTAGTCAGTCTTGTAAGGAATATTGTACTTTAAAAAAAATAATTGTTTTGTTGGTAGTTTTCAATGAAAGTAGATACATGAGGATGAATGGTCTTTCCTCTAGTCTTTTCTGAGGCATTGAGTCATCATTGCTAGTTGTATTATGTGGCAAGATTATCACCTTGACTTGAACTTCCTCCCTTGGGAAGTCTGGATGCACAATTTTCTTTGGAGAGCAAGTAACATATCTTTGCAATATGTTTAAGATGGGCTTAATGTAGACCATAGTTTTGACAAAAGCGGGTGCAAAGCTGTTGCATGATGACAATTTTACTTCATATGATCTAAAGCATAAATAAGGTAATGAGGACTTCCGACCATGGAGAGTCTACCGGAAAAGGGGCCGACGATCTATAGCCACGATCGCACCACTTTATTTTGAAGTTATCATTTGTATTAGATTTATTATTATTATATGTGTATTTGATTTATTATCGCAGTTTGTCTGCTTTTACCCTCACTTGATGGCGTAGTTGTTTGTGACCCTCAGGGGCACTTTTGTCTTTTATCTTGCTATTGTATTTTGGTTATTTAAAGCCCGCTCTTCTTTCTTTTGAGGGGATAATGATAATGAAGAAAAAATTTTTGCAATTGTGATTTGAGAGTTTAGAGAGTTCTTGTGAGAGGTTGAAGTCCCAAAGGCGTGGGCATTTGTATTACCCATCAGCTGCAGAAAGAGTTTGGGCTCGTGGTTCATCTTCTCCACCAACTTTCCGTCCTTATTTCTCCTAGCTGCCACCTCCTCCACCCTACATGCCGCCGGCCACCTTTACCTAGTCCTTAACCGACCCCTTTCCTCCATCTCCAACCCTAGCCGCCACTTCATCCTTCCCCTTAGCCGCCGACCACCTCCTTCCCAAACTGCTAACCCCCCACACCTTCTCAAACTGCCAGCCACCCAAGCTCTCCATCACCTCCACAACTCTCTCCCTTCAATCAATGCTCTCCAAATTTAGTGCATCATAAATTAGGAGAGTTTTCAAAATTCTAATTTTAAATTCTTTAAAATATGAAATTGTTTTCCTAAAATAGATGAGTTAAAATAGTTAAGGCCCCATCATTCAAGATAATTTAAAATTTGAAAAGGAGATGCCCTAAATCTCCTTTCCTCTAAATCTCCTTGTTATGCCGGTCCAGCTTGGACCGGCTCTACCTGGACCGGCCCAGCCGGTCCAGTGCAGATGAGTTAAAATAGGTAAGGCCCACCATTCAAGATAATTTAAAATTTGAAAAGGAGATGCCCTAAATCTCCTTTCTCCTATCACTCCTTTCCTAATTTAAATTTTCAAACTTAACAACCTCTTTTAATCATCCAATTTGGTCCTCATCGAGGGGCCAGTCCACCTTTTCCTCTCTCCTTTATTTGGAGAAGATTTAATTCAAATTACCCTTTCCCAATTTGAATCCCAATTAACCCCCCATCCGGGGGGTCACCCCTCTCTTTCTCCCCTATATTTGAGAGTTTTCAAATTCAAATCTCTCTTAATTCCTCATCCACTTAAAGCAACAATTGAATCCTATTTCACTTATACTTAAGTCTTGTCTTATTTGGCTTACCACCTAAATAAGAAACCAATCCCAAGATCTTATAATTGCTTAAATTAAATTTCATATTTCCCTAGTTGTTTCCTTTCCTTATTATTTCCTCAAACAAGGATTTGACTTGTACGCTAGAGCTGACCAAAACACCCTCTCCTCTCTACACTGAAGTTCCTTCGTTTGATGTAATCACCTGAGACGGAGAAGTGAAGTACTTGCTGTCCAGAAACTCCAGCGACCCATAATTTTCTGTCCACTCATGGATGGCCATTCCTGAACGTGATCATGGCTTCATATTCGACGACTAAGGGTTCATTGACATCCACCTATCTCCTTTCTTCGACGTTGACTTAGAGAATGATATCTCCGTTGAAGATTACGAGGAATGAATCCTCTTCTCCCTTGCCACCGTTATCGATCAACGACAACCTCCCGTTTAGTCAGGTTGTTTGAGTGCTCTTTTATTTGTTTTTTTTTTTTCTTTTGATTATATATATGTTGTCTCGTGCGATAAACATGTTTTGATTCTATTTATCTATCTTTAAACATTGCAGAACACTCATCAACATTATTCTGGGTTGGTTGTGCTAGCACAACAACAACAACAAGTCTTAAAAAACAACAACAACAACAACAACAACAACGACAAGCCTTTATCCCACTATGTGGTCGGCTACATGAATCCTTTTTCTCCATTGTGTCATGTTAATGGTCAAATTCTCATATAAATATAATAAAGAAAGGGCATTTCTAATATTTTATAACAAAGTTTTTTTAGGTCTAGCTTTACCTTTTTTAACATAAGTCAAATCTAATACTTCTACTTTCCTAACTGGGTCATCGGAAGACCTCCATTTAAAGAGACTCTAATCTTATCTTCCACTAGAGCTGCTCCAACATTTTTACGTATATGCTTATTTCGTATCCTGTCTTTAAGAGTAAAGCCACTCATCCACCTAAGCATCCTCATTTCTGCAACACTTAAAATATTATGCTTCTCTTTTAATGGCCAAAATTCTACACCATAAAGCATTACAGGTTTCACTACCATCTTATAAAATTTTCCCTTATGTTTGAGCGGGACTTTTCTATCACATAATAAGCCCAATGCATTCATCCACTTCAACCATCCAACTTGAATTCTACTAATAATATCCCTATCTATTTCACAATCACTCTGAACAATAGACTCAAGATATCTAAAATATGTGTTCTTATTAATGACTTGATCGCCCAAAGTCACATTCCCTCGCTAGATCTATTATTACTAAAATTACACTAATATATTCAGCTTTAGATCTACTCAAATGAAAGCCTTTAGACTCTAAGGTTGACCTTCATAATTCAAGTTTACCTTCAACTCCCTCTCTAGTTTTATTGGGTTTGGCTTCAAGCAACTTCCTTAGCATTTCTTTCACGGCAGCGAATTTTCCATCCATCTTTTCATGGATGGATGCAAACTGATTTTCAAAATCTAAAATTGTCTCCACAAAATCTGATTTCAGTTGACCTATTTCCCCCTCCAACACTTCCACACTCTTTCTGACCATTGGTACCCTTAGATTGAATTGCTCTGATACCAATTTGCTAGGAAATACCAAGAAATTCTCTAGTAAATTCAGAGAAAACAGCTCCCTTGCAAGCCGATTTGGAGGAAAAGATGGAGGAATCACACGGACAACAACTATATTTGATGAAAGAAAAACAAACTCAAGCAAGACACAGTTGAATCTTCAATTGGAGAGGAAGATCCGGCTCTCCCCACTCTCTAGACGCCGCTAGTGCCCTCATAAGAAATAGGAACAACAAACTACAGCAAGAAACAGTTTAAAAATCTCACCCTAGCCTCCAAAACCTACTTAAACATACAATCCCTAGGTAAATCCCAAAACAGCTCCATCTATTTGAATTTTCCCTTTTAAAACTCCCTTAATTTTCTCTTAATTAAGCTAGTGGACCCACTTTGATGGGGCGGCATGCATAGGGGGCGGAACATGCTTGTTCTGCCTCTTATAATAGTGAACCGGTCCAAACAGGACCGGTCTATCAGCCTGCTGGTTAGCCCTGAAGCTTTTTTTTTTTTAAATGGTTTTCGTTAGGAGGGTTGATATGGTTAGGGGTCAATTTTGACATATGTTCTCGTCTGAGCAGGTTTCCTTAAAAGGCAATTATAACCTCTGAGAACCATTAAGGTGTTTGTAATTCGATCATCAAAATCATTCTTATTAAGTTTCAACTATCGGTTATTAACAGTTTTATTTGGTGAAACTTTTAATTCAAGCATTTGATCTTTTTGGTCACCTTTATCTCTTAGGAATGGTTAGTGCATAGCATTACTTTTGTTTAGGCAGTACAGTGCATTTATATATTATTATTTGGTAATTTGCCACCAAAAAATAGTTTTAAAATGGAAGTCTGTAAATTCTACCTTATTTTTCTTATGTTTGTTCTTTTTAATGTGATCAGAATTTCAGAACTCTTCTTTTAATGGTATATCTTCTTCTTTTACAGGCTATCATTTTTAATATTAAAGGACTCAGCAGCTTCCTTGCAAGCTTCTGTTTTGTTCTGTTTCAACCCTGCCTCTATATTCTACTCATCAATGTAAGGTTTTTATACTTCTAGAGTTTCAAACAATTAGAACTTTAAATTTGGCTTGGATAGTTACAACAATTTTGTTGTTGGCAGATATTCGGAGAGCCTTTATGCGCTATTTTCATTTTGTGGATTATTTTACTTATTTTCTGGTTCAAATTATGTGGCCATTCTCCTGCTTGGTGTGTGTGGTACAGCTAGATCAAATGGAGCCATTCATGCTGGTTATTTTTGCTTCAAGGCATTGCTTCAAGCTTTTGATGCCATCACCAATAAAAATAGCATCAGTGTAAGTTAGTGGGTCCAACATCTTCCTATCTTCGTCCATTGAATATAGAATATAAATTAAGTGCAACATTTATTAAGACATCCTTCTACGCATGCACAGTATTAACATAAATCCTCATTTAAGATAGTGTACTATTAGTTTTAGATGCATAATTCAACAAATGATGAGCAAGATGAAAATGCTTACAATAGTGAGTAATATATTGACATATTGAACTGTAGTCATTGGTAGAATTAGAAAGTAAGAGGGGAGACAAAAGAGTTTATCCAAACTTTAAGAAGGAAAGAGGGGCGCATACATGATTGCAAGAGATTTCAAGGGTAAAATTTTTGTGTTATACATAACTATTTATGGTTCTCATATCTAGGGAGGCAAGAGCTATTGCTAGCCCTCTTATTCCACCACTGAATGTAATGTTTGGCTTGCTTTAACTATGTAATTTTATATTACATAATTGTAATGCTAATGCAAGTAATTAGGATTACATTTGATGCCAAGGGTAATGCTTTTGAAGCACAATGATTATTTCGTCAATTAAATGAAAAAAAAAAGTCAGAGCATGATCTAGAATTGGATGTCTGGAAGATTTTTAGAATTGTTTGTAATTTTTTTTACAATAAGGATGATCTAGCATAATCCTTTCAATGTGATGGCAAGAGTTCCTAATTAGAGGATTTGTTGAGTTTTCTTGATGTAGGGACTTCTATCTTATTTTTTAATTCTTTTTGTTGCCACTACAATGCCTATTGTTTGCTATAGTTGTTGCGGTTGGCTATAATGTTTGTTGTTGATATAGTCTCACACTATTATTATAGTGCCCGAACAAAGAAGAGAGAATCTTTTGCGAGACTATTATTATAGTGCCCGAACAAAGAAGAGAGAATCTTTTGTGAGAGTTGGATTATTTTCTTTTGTAAGAAATAACTTATAAGTAAAAAAAGCAACTATAATTAATTTAAAATTGACCTTATAATTAATTCCACAAAAGAGAGAAATTAAAATTTAAAATATAACTTATCCAAAAAATAAATTCAAAAGTCATCATTACATTATTTTTTAATCACCATCCAATGGTTCAAATTTTCTGCCTTCTATTTTAATATGATTCTTTTGATTACAACTCCCAATTTAAACTTATTTATTTTGATATATGTTTTTTTTTTTTCTTTTCTTGCTATTGGTTTTTCTTTATGTTCTTGTAGTTTTGGGGTTTTGATTTTGTTGATGGTCCATCTTCCAGGACAAACTTTTAATCAACAATATTGATGCTCTTTTTGTGCTCTTACCAAGAAGAGAGCCCGTGCACTCTGTCAGAACCATTTGGTTTGATGGTCCTTCCCAACTCTTGTGAAGGTAGAATAATAGAACGACTAACTTTATAATTTTTTCCGCTTTATTCAAGCACAATTTTTTTTTTTACTTCTTTAGAAGATAACATTTATATCCCACAAACTATAACATACATCTAATGATAAATTTTCTCATACTATCTCATCAATAAAATCTTTAAAGAAAATAGACCTAAGAGTTGGGGTGTCAATTTTTGACACGACCCGAACCCAACCCGGAAAAATCCGGTTTTGGGTCAACCCGAACTCGAAACGGGTCGGGTTTGGGTTCAACAAATCAACCCGTTTTAAAAATCGGGTCGGGTTGACCCAGCAACCCGAAAGTGATACGAAAACTCATTTTTGACCCGAAAACCCGAGATTGACCCGTTTTTTACCCGAGATTGACCTGATTTTTGACCCGAAAACTAGCAATTTTGGGTCAACACCGGGTCATTCGTATCCGATCGGGTTCGGGTCCAGAAATCTGACCCGTTTTTAAAAACGGGTCGGGTTCGGGTTGACCCAAATAGTGTCGGGTCAGTTCCGGGTTCGACCCGAACCCTACCCGTTGACCCGAATTGACACCCTACCTAAGAGCGCATTGTTGAGTTAACAAACATTGTTGTTTTGAAATTAGCTCAAAGAATAAAGTTTCGAATGCTAAGTTGTGACCAACCCCAATCTCTCGACCAAAGCTGCAAAGAGAAGATTATTTTCAGTCTTGATCTAAAATGGCATCAATATTGATGATTTTACTTGAAGCTTAAGATGGAATAATTCACTAGTATGTGCATGCAACATCGAAGATAGTGGAGGATCTGCCTTTGTTACTTCTTTGACCTCAACTACTTTGTGGTGAATATTTTTGTCTTATCATCTTATTTTTGCCTCTTCTTTGAATATAAATTACAACTATTTTTATGTTTGTGCCCTTGGATTTCGCCTATGTTGCACCAATACAAATATGACGACACGGATACGACACGATACGGATATGTGACACGACAATTCTTAAAATTACAGGATACGACATTATAATATATAAATCATACATAAAAAATAACAAATTAATCAAAGCATAATATTTGAAATGACAAAAAAATTGAAAGCAACATCATGTGTAGGCTTGAAGCATTGTATCTTATAATATCAAAATAAAAGTAAGCATTAAATATTTAAATGTCAGTACAACAACAAAAACAAAAATATAAATTGTCCAACATATGAAGTTTGAACTATTCAATAGAAGGAATGATAAGATTAGCTTCTTCAGTGGTTTGTCTTTGAATTTCGATATCATCTTCAATGAATATCATGGCTTCCAATTCAGGCTCATCAAGTGAAAGATTAGCAATTTCTAATATTCCCATATCCTTAAGAGATTCAAATCCATCTCTTGCAACATCCCACATCCTGTTGTCTCCTTCCATATAAGTTGAAGTTTTCCTTGAGAGAAGCCGAAGGTTTATATGCACATAAACTAAATCTTCAGCCTGTTGTGGAGTAATTTTATTTCTCTTCATTGATTGGATGAACGAGTATGTGCTCCAATTTCTTTCACAACAAGATGAGGATGAAACTTGACCAAGCAATTTTATGGCGATTGTTTGAAGTAGAGGTGTTGAAGCTCCATGTATAATCTACCACATTTTTTGATCAATTCTCCACCTATCACGCAATGACTCTTGGTCACCAAAGTCTTCTAAATAACCAAAAAATTTAGCAAGCTCAATATCTCTACCTTCTCAGTACTGAGCAATACCGAGCAGTACCGAGCAGTATTGAGTACCGAATACCGAGTACCGAGCAGTATCGAGTACCAAGTACCGAGTACCGAGCGGTACTGACTTCTAGTACCGAGTACCGAGCAGTACCGAGCGATACCGAGCAGTACCGAGCAGTACTGAGCGATACCGAGTGGTACTCGGTACTGAGTTCTGGTACCGAGCCTAAGATTAATAAAATGAAGAACGAAGAAAACGAACCTTCAATGCTCACATCGCCTTTACTGTTCGTGTTGTCGAGTCACTCCGTCGACGAAGGATTCTATCAGCTTTAATGCTTGCAATGTCGAGCCTCTTTGTCGATGAAGGATGATCCTGATCGCTTCTATGCTCGCGTCGTCGAGCCGCTCCTTCGATTATAACGAAGAAGACGAACACCTGTGCGGAAACAAAAAACCTAGCTCGCCGAAATGTTTAAGCCACATAAATGAATAGGGATATTGAGCGGACAGCCGAAATGAATAGGGCAAATTGCGGCTCTGTTTTATTTTTTTTAATAGGACACGCGTCCAATACAGCATGCCTCGTAAATAGGCGTATCCGTGCAACATAGGATTTCACATTAATGATATGGCGATCTACTATCTTGCTCCTTGAACATTCATATATATATATATATATATATATATATATATACGTTAGGTCTTTTTTTTTGCAATCAAATTACTGTTTGGAGAGTTTTCCACCAGATTTTTTGTGAATCGTTTGTTGTTTTTCTCCATCTTTGTTAGGGTTTAGTTGAAATATTCAAGCATTAAAAAAAAACTTGAAATATTCAAGTATTTCCTATCACAACCCTAGGGTTTTTGCCCAATGGAAAGAGTCACGTTTCTTTTGTCAACTAATATTGCTTATGTGATGAGTTTACTCTTGTCAACAATTGAAAAAAACTTAAATTTTGTGTAAAGGCTTTCATAAAGCCTTGCTACATATTTCATAAATATAGATTTTTTAATAAAAAATAAATAAATAAATTTGTTGCCTACATTCTAAAATTTTGACATATTCTTATACAATTTGTCAATTATCATGCTCAAATTATGCCATTAATTTCACTTTTCTTCTCGGTCTCAAATGAAATAGAATTGAGCTTTTAACAAAATTTTAAACTCTAATTTATTTATAATCTGATTATGTCAAAGATGATAAATCATAATTTTTTTTATTGTGAATTCAACCATATTAAAGCATGTGTTGATAATTTCAAGATTGTGAATTTGACCATATTGAAGTGTGTGTTGATAATTTCAAATTAATAAATATAATTTTCTCTATATCCAGACAATCATAAAATATGTTTTAAAAAGATCCCTTGTTTGAGATTTCAACTTAGGCTTCGTTTGTTTTTTGGTGTTATTGTAAAAGACAGTTTTAAAAAACATTAGTTCAGAAAATGGAATTTTCTAACGGATAAGCATATATAAAAAGCTTTCTCAAAATTGCAGAAAAATGAAAAAAATAGAGTTATTGGGAACGTGATTTAACGAACCAAACAACACAAAAAAAAAATCATCCGTTTCCAAACGGAAAAGACAAAAAAAAAAACGCTCAAACAAACAAAGCTTTAAGCCAAAGGAACTTTAGTTTTGAAAATCTTCTGACATTTCCATATTCTTCTCAATTTTCCTCATTGGTCAGGATTCTATTCGATAGGTCATTGTCTCCTATTGGATAGCCATCCGTATGTCTGGATTGGTGGTGGTGGAACAAATTTTGGTGGTGCACCTTAGTAGCAAGATCTTCAATGATAGTTTTCATCACAATCATTTGATCAACCATGTGCTTAGTCATATCTTCTTTCATGCTAAGAAGACCTTTAATTATTGATTATCTCTCCTGACAGTCGTAATACCAGTCTCCTTAGAATTAGCAATAGTATCATTCCCAATCTTTAGTTTAGCCATGTATTTTTGTGCTTATGGACCTCATAACAAATTATGGTTCAAAATTGGATGTGTGGAAGTCTTTGGAACTAAGGAAGAATTGGATTTTGGGGACAACAATTGCAATGAATTTCCAGTGTATTTGGAACTCACCCAAATATGAGGAAATTTAAATACACAAAAAATGAATTAGAATGTAAATTCCAAATGCACCAAATTTTACATTGCATTTGTTTTATTTCAAACTATATACCAATATTCTCAAAACCTGTGCATTTGGAATATTTTACACTCTTACTGTGCATTTGGAATATTTACACTCTTACTTTAAACAAAACAACCCTACATGAAAATGATAGGAAATTGATGCGGACATCAATACGAAGATTTGGCGCATCTATCATAGGCGGCGTCGTAAATCGATGTCCATTATTTAAATTTTCATTTATGTATTATTTTCTGAATGTTAGCTCTTGTTTTATGTATTTCCTATTTTATCCCTAGGATAATTTATTTGAGTGTTGTAGCCCGAGGGGCAATTTTGTAATTTTTTTAATTTTCTCATGTTGTGGCCTATATATATGGCCTTTAGCTATTGTAAGAGGGGGGATTATTAATAAAAAATTGGTGTTTTGCACTTGGGTTCTTTGGGAAGACGCTAGTGAAATCCCTATGGGAGGGATTTGGAGTTTCCACCAGCCGCAGGATGGGTCCGGGCTCGTGGCGTGAAGTCCCTTGGAGAAGGGCAACGTAGTACCCGTCAGCCGCAGGATGTGTCCGGGCTCGCGGTTGTATCTTTAATATTTTGTCTCTTGTTTTTTGTTT